TCATATCAGGAGGTTAAAAAATAAAATAAAATAAAATAAAATAAATAAATAAATAACCATAGCTTACCTTGTCATTTCCTTGTGAATTAGTTTCGGATAATAAATCAGTTAAACCTGCCAGCAGCCAATTTTTGTATCTTTGAATTAACTATTCTCAAAAAAAAAGTGAAACGGTGCTATATAAATATGAATTAAACATCTAACTACGCTAAAGAAAACAGAAGAAAGCTCTAAAATTATGAAACGTTTAAAAAAGGGGAAAAGTACCAGAAGTTCATTTTTTGCTGGAAATAATAATGGGGATGGTAGTGATGAATCTAGCACATTAATGAGTGATGAGGATAAAATTAGGTTGCAAATATTTTTGGATGTAAAGCAATTTGGCAAAGAGGTTGGTTTCTCTACCTATATATTCTATGATTTTGAAGAAAAAAAAAATTAACAAAATATTATCTAAAGTTGACAAATTTAGGATTAAATCCTTTGGAAATCAAAGGGTACACTGAATTGTACAAAGTTGTTGAGCCTTATGGTATGATATTAAGGATATGATATTTGCTTTGATTAATCTTTGGTATTAATCTCTTTATTTTAAACAACATATTTTAGAAAGCATTCAAAGACTATAAAGCCTAAATATTTTTAACTTAGAAGATTATAGAATTGTATTTTGTAATTGTTTTTTTATTAATTTAACAATAGTCTAATAAAGTAAATAATCTGATAATTGATACAACTCACTTTTGCTATATTGAATTTATTATTAAAGGTAGGGTCAACGTTAGTGATGTGCTATTTATATGATACCTTTCGCGTACAGTACGTACAGTATGTACAGTACGTATAGTATAGTATACCTAGTATACCTGGTATAAAAAAAAATTTTTGTCTTCGGAATACTTCGGCTGAACCTTGCTCGTGTTTTATGTTTATATTTTATTTTGGGGGTATTTTATACGCTAATTAATCAAAATTATGTAAGATACAATAGCGGTCACACAATTTGTCATACTTTTTTTGTAATAAAATTTTTTTAACTAAAATAATGTAAAATTTTGTTTTGAACAAGTATACTTAAAAGACAAAAATAGATTGTCTTAGTAAAAAAAAAAGTTTATATAGAAAAACTAAAAATTTTACATTTATTGTATAGTAAATTTATTTTTTTATTAAGATAATTTATTTTTGTCTTCTAGATAAAGTTTTTTTTTTTTTTTTTGAAATTTCAACCTATAGGTTGAGGTGAGGTCTTGCCTCTATCTTTATTGGGTAAAGTATAGTTAAGAGTTTATACAAAACTACTTGATAATAATTTACATACAAGAATTGAAGCTCAGACGATAATAAAATAA